CCTTTCCTTTCCTTTCCTTTCCTTTCCTTTCCTTTCCTTTCCTTTCCTTTCCTTTCCTTTCCTTTCCTTTCCTTTCCTTACAAATGTATTGGTAAAGAAAAGAAAGGAGCCCATATACTTGGTCCCTTGGATAACAGGCCCAGGAAGTCCTTAGTGTGTCTGGTGCTTTTTTCACCTAACCCAAACTACCAAATTGTACTCCCAACACTGGCATTTTTAGGACTAGTTCATGCTCAGACTTGATCCCAGGTGATCATGTTCATGCTGATAGTTTCACCAACTGGTTTCTGTTTAAGAGACCTAGTTCCTTTCTTTGCTTCACTAGGTGGCAGGGCTGGCTCCTTGTCTGGAGGGGTCATTGGCTTCCTTTCTATGTCACTGAGCCATGGCAGAGTTATCTGGCTGTAGTGAAGGCAGTGCCCCAGTTGGTATTGTCCAGCTGGACCTATCAAGTGGAACACATAGTGGACCTCAGTAGTCACCCTAAGACAGCGAGGCTCTGGCCCTGACCCTGTCAGCTGATAGTCTCAATATGATTAAGGTTGTTGATGTGGTTTTCAATAGAAAGTAGCTGGCAAGACTTTGCCCTAGCCATTCAGGAAGAAAAGAGACACCACTGGGTGGAAACAGAGCAAGCTAAGGTGACACACTCTTCTCCTTCTCCTTCCTTCTCCTCGGCCCTCCCTCCCAGACAAGAAAGCCTATCACAAAGCAGATTGGAGCAGCAGCAGAAAGCCTAAGAAGGCCAGTATCATTCTTGTTCCCAGGTGCTCATAAAATAATTAGAAATGTTTGGGGAGAATATACAGTGTTTGTGCCGCTGGTGTGGCATATGAGTCACAGTTAACAGAGAAATGGAGATCTCTCATGTAATATAACCTACAGGATACATTTTTTATTCCTTCTGAATTTTCTTGCCAGAAACACCAATAACCCAAAATAAGTGCTCCAACAGAAGACTTTGTCCCGAACACACTTTTGCGTTCAGAATAGTCAGCGGTGCAGCAAATGTTGTTGGCCCTTCCATATGCTTTGACGGCAATGTGTAAGTTCAGTGCAGTCGATGCGCTTATGTATATTCATTTGATAGACTGTGGCATTACGTTTACCAGTCATGCTGACTGAACCTTCTCTCTCAATCTCTCTCTTCATTTGCATGTTTTAGATTGATGAGCAATGTGAAAAATAATGTTGGTCGGGGTTTGAACGTTGCACTTGTTAATGGTGAGTTTTTCCAAAGGCTCAATCATATTCCGCGTGACTTGTTCTGTTGATTCTTCTGAAATCACCCAGTTGGAGGGCTGTTTTGAAGCAAATGTTTTTATTACAGTATTCAGTTTATTGTTTCCCACTAAATATGGCAGTCCGGTTTTGTTAGGAAAAATACAGCTGCCAGAACATCTTAAAGGTATGGCTGCAGATGAGGAGAAGTGGAAGAGTTACATTCTTCTAGATATCTTCAGAAGAAATCTGCTTTATTGGTCTTGGTGAAGTGCATATTTGCATGCAGAACACTATTCACATTCCTTTACTTAAGTCCCAGGAATGCCCAAATAGCTACGCAAAGCACAAACTGTACAGGAGAATCTCTTCATAGACACTCACAGACAGACAGCTGGTGCTGTGGTGAAGCTAGGATGGTTCGTTTGTTGTTTGTTCACTTATCAGTTTTATATGGCTGCCCATCTCATGAGACACAACTCTGGGTGGATAACAGGAACAATGAAAACACAACAATAAAAGAATCCAACAAGCAAACAAGAAAAACCCAGTGCCAAGTCAACAACATCTACCCAACTATACAGTCCCCTGGGCTCCAACCTTGCTACCCCATTGTCTGGGGGGAAAGTCAGCTCTTAATGGCTTTCCGGAAAGCTAAGAGGGTGGGGCTCTGCTAGATCTCAAGGGTGGGTGTTTCATAGGGCAGGGGCCACTACAGATAATGCATTGCTGTTCACTGTTATCATTTCTGTATAGATTTTTCCCTAAGATACATTTTGGTTCATTGGCAAAGAGCATTGCAAAATTCAGAAATATGTGGATTGTGAATGATAAGTATATTTTGATTCACATTGGCTCAAAAATGCAAATTGAGGAAGGGTTGCGTTTAAAGGTTAAGTAAATACATTTCTCTCCTATTCCCAGTAGTTACTATCCACAAGGAAGTGGTGGCTTAGTTCAAGAACTAAGGAACTCTTTCTGGATTGAAGTGATCTGAGTTTATATTCTGGAACTGATGGATTTGCTTTTCATCTAGGTAGCCCAGTCTTAAAGACTTTTAGCATATGAGGATTTCTCCCTTCATCTGCTCCTGGACATAGCTATGTCAGTTGCATGGTGCTGTTTGCAACTCAGTGCTGATTCATTGCGACTAGCTAAAATACTTCAGCTGCTCTATAACTCTGGGAAAAGTACTACTACTACTACTACTACTACTACTACTATTATCATCCTGTGCTTCCATACTGAATGGGACAAGCATTCTAATTGGATGTTTCCTCCTAGCAAGTATTTCAGTATTTCTCACTCAAGGTTTATTCCCACTTCACAATTGCCCCATCATCAAAGTGGGTGAGCAACCTTGTTTGGAAGGCAGGAACAGATGACATCACTTTCTATTCACCATCACCCCACTGCTAATGTTTAAAAGTTCTCTTTTCCCCTTTATGTTGCATACCTGTCCATGTTAGCTGGTGTACTTCACTTCATTACAAGCTAACCCCAGCAGTTCACTGGTTACATCACAGAGGCAGCAGAGCTGAAACCCTTCTACCCCAAATGAATGGGAAAATATTGAAATGGTGCACCATTGGAGCTTATTTAATAATTTTTGAAAAAAACAGGACAGAGAAAAGGAGGTAGGTCATGGAAAGAAAAATAGTAATTTTTTTTTAAAGGACAGGTTTCTGCCAGGTTTCAAATGAGCAACCTTCTATTTATAGGCCAAGTGTTATAGTCATTGTGCTGTGACTGATAAGAGTAGCTTTAGAAGATATTAGAGACCCTGATAACCATTGATTCAAATAGGAGCTGTTCCTGCCTCTGTGAAGTAACTGATGAATTGCAGGGGTAGCCTCTAACAAAGTGAAGTGCACCAGCCAAAACAGACAAGAGCACCTGAGGAAGCATAAGGAGGAAAAGAATGCTTTAAAAAATGCCTCAAGGTCACATTTACAATGGGAGGTGGGTGAATGCAGAACAAAGTCATCCATTCCAATAGAAGAGAATATCTGTAGCTCAGGGTTGAACTGTGGAGTCCTTGGTGCTCTCTGAGCTTCGCTGTTTGCTTGCAGACATTTCATTACCCGACAAGGTAACATCATCAGTGCCCAAATGATGATGATGATGTATACTGATGATGTTACCTAGTTGGGTAATGAAATGTCTGCAAGCAAACAGCAAAGCTCAGAGAGCACCAAGGACTCCAAAGTCATCCATTTCTGCCCTTCAAAAATGGTTGTTGGCCTGCTCTGGTGATGGGATCACTAAACAGTGCAGATAAGCCCCCAAAGTTTTGCAGGCTGTAGTTGGTGAAGACAAAGTGAAGCAAATACGGATCTAATTTACAACTGCTTGCAAGTCAAACATATGGTGTTATAGCAAGGCTCAAAGTAAGCCAGCACTTTCTGAACAGAAGTAGAATCTGAACCCTTTCTTCCTCAAACAAAGAAAATAGAGGCAATGTTCTGGAATCATAAAATCCCAAGACAATTAAGCTAACCTTGAGAAAATAGTATGACATCTGGCAAGCCCAATGGACATTGACACTGTTAAAGACTTCATAAACACTTTCTGTAGCTTAATCATTAATTCTACTTATAAAGGAAGAGAAAACCCACAATGAGGGGATGGTTGGTGAAGATGACAGAATTTGCACAGATGGCAAGACTGATCTGTTTGGTTAGGAGAAAGACAACAATATATTTGTCGGTGACTGGAAACCCTTTATGGACTTTTTGCTGAAAATGGGAAAAAATGAACTTGTAATTTATGGGTTTGGTGATTAGAAAGGGTAGAATATGGAAAGAAGGGAGACACAATATAACTATAGAGTGAGAAGATAAAATACAAATGCATTTATAACTTCTGTAAAGAAGATTGGAACTTGTATCTTTATATCTTTTCTTTTTCTTTCTTTTCTTTCTTTTTTCTTTCTCATTTACTTATCACTTTACTCTTCTCTTTCTTCTTTAAGTTTATATTGTTTTTACTCTGTGAAAATTTTTTTCAATAAAAATTAATACAAAAAAAAAAAAAGGAACCGCGGGCAGGCCAAGAGATGCTACTATAGATATAGTTAATGAGAGAGAAAATCTGTGGGCCCCTATTATGCCCACAGACATTTACCCATGATTACCTGCTTCTCGTTAATCTGCTTCTTGAATATGAGATCACTCTCCTTAATCCTAGGCTAGCACAACTCGCAGGTTGCTTATAAAGTGTCTCTGACTGTGAGGATAGATGCTAAAAAAGAAAGTCCAATCACATATCGCTCTCCTTTATCTCTTAAAAAGAAGGAACTTTTAGTTATTCAAAATCAAAATATGGGAAGAAGGTCCTAGGAGGCTCTGAGGTTGCAAGTGGCAAAAAAGACATATCCTTCTGATTGGAGTGGCCTACTGAATAAAAAGCAAATGGGCAGAATTTGAAAGGGAGTTGATACAGTACAGCAGGGCACATAAAAAGCAAAGCCTTAATTACTACTAAAATAATACTGGTGATAAATTATGCATCTGGTTGGGTTCACCACATGCACAGCGCACTTAACTCAGTTGCCGAATTAATCAATTTTCTAGATTCATAATCATATACAGAATCATAAAATAACTAAATAGTAATAGAAGAGAATATGTGTAGCTCAGGGTAGAACTGTGGAGTCCTTGGGGTTCTCTGAGCTTGGTTTTCTTGCAAACGTTTCATTACCCGGCTAGGGAACATCTTCAGTCCTAGAATGGAAAACCCCACCCCATTCTCTCACTCGAGATGTTTCCTAGCTTGGTTACGAAAAGGATGCAAGAAAAAAAATAAAC